CGGCACAGGCCGTAAGTGGTGTGCTATTTGGTTGTCAGTAATTGTTTCTTAAATGAAACAACAAATCGCATACCAGATATAGTTATAGTTATTTTGTTGGTTTGACCAGCGATTCTCGTCTGACTTGCGCTGCTTGAAGCAATGCGCTTGTTGCCTTTGCTCCCTTTGAAATAAATGAGAACCTTTATTCCTGCAGTTGCGTTACCTCTGGACTGCTGAATAATGCTTCGGAACTTGCAAATCCGCTGAAGGCTTAACGCCGCTAACTTTTTTAGTTCGTCATTTGAGCCTTAACGACAGCTCCTCCGCGCAGCCAATCCAAAATCGTAGATGTTCTCTGTACAAGTAAGTTTGATGCCTCAAATCTTCGAGGTTTTCCTGCTTTCGCGGCTTCGCAGTAAGTAACGGAAGAGCTGTTGCCTTTATAAAAGACACTTCAGACGCCCTCCCTAGTTGCACCACCCACCAAAACAGAGTCTATTTTCTGCCACAAGTTCCACAGTCGTGTTTTCGTTTTCTCCTCGTTCTTCGATATTTAGGCATTGATGACCGAAGAAACCGATCTAATGCGCAGAGGCCCAGGATATCGCTTTGCCAGCATAAAACAAGCAGGTCCGGAAAACTCGTCCAGTGAGGCTGCAGAACCTTACTCGAGGTGTCATCAATGCTTTTTTGTTTTCTTTTTCCTTCCCGAGAATTACTTAGCGACTACTGGTTTATAAGTGAACACTACTGTCCTCCTATGCAACCGCGGGGTTCTGTCGTTGGCAGTACACGCCCCTGTTGGCTTTTTCCTGCGGCGTCTCACACAGCACAACTCCTATTTCACCACTTCAGCAACTTTATAACTCCTTTCAACCGTGTCATATGCACAGTATCCCCTCAGTTGCTTTTAGCCTATATTAGCACAGTCAAACATGTTTTCCTGTTTGCCCGTATTGCTTACATATCACTTCACATGATACTTCATGCCAGTTTCTCTTATCCTAATACTTTTGACCTTCTCTTACTGCATGATTTTTGCACGAGCGCCCATGTTCAACTCCTCTCATTTTTATCTCTCTTTCAACTTCTACCCATAAGTAGTCTCTGCCCCTGTTTCGTCAACCCTACCTAACTGACGAGCCTCGGGTTGGCGAGGCAGTGATGGTTCATCCGGGGTAAAAGGCCAAACGGATCATTTTTGTTTGGGATGTTTTCAATATTTTGTTTTTTTTTTTGTTTGTAATCGTCTTTAACAATTTCGTGGGTCGTGTCCACAGTGCTTGCTAATCAAGCAACAGTATTGACTTTTACCGTCTTTAGAAAACGCAGTGAACATCAACACTACTCTGTTGAAGGCTGTGTAAAAGACGACATTATAACAGCCGCGAGAAAAGATACAATCACATTTTGATTTTCGTTGATTTCAGCCAGAGTTGTGAGGTTCAATCGAGTAGTTTCCTTTCGGAAGACCGCGAGGATAATGTGTCGATTGAGAAAGAAGTAGGTTTCGAGCTTATTATGAGAAATATTAATTGAAAATATTACAACTATTAAAAACAATAAAATATTACAAAACACATAACGATTGTTCATTGGCTTTTCTTTCTGTTAATATAGTGGCCGCCACGTTTTCTTTCCACACTCGCTTTGTGCGTAGCTTGAGGAAGGTGATTGAGCAGTAACGGTAGCATCGGAGAACCCCCTGTATCAGACTGCAACTTATAAATGACGACTTTTTGCAGAGTAATTTATTAAAATTGCAATGCATGTGAAAGTTCAATTCAGAAGACACACTTCATGAAGTTCTTCTTTATAGTCTTTTCATAGGCAGGCGATCTTGAATCTGAAACGGAAGAAGAAGGCTGCAACACCGATTCTTTCGTTGTTCAGATGATGAATATCTCACCGGTGAGAGCCTTTTGCTTGTTCTTTTGTTTCCATCACTTGTTTGCGGTAACCAACTAGACGGCCTCTCTGGAGGGCTGAGTTCTTGCCATCGGATGACGCTTACAGAGTGATCCTTGGAGGAGACATCACAATAGGAAATCGTTCGAAAGGTTATTCCCTTGCGCTAGTAATGGACGCTGCACCCTTGATCAATCCCATTTGGAATGCATGTTATTTTCTCGGTTGTTGAAGTGAGAAGCAAATCTCGAGAAAGGTCAAAATCGATAACGAAGACATTACGATTTCATTATTGTAAGGCATGATTCTCGTGATTCTAGATTCTCTCTTTTTAAGAAAGGCGTTAGTTTTTTTTTCTGGTTGGCAGCTACACCCGGTATACCAGGCCGTTTCCCTGCCTATCATAACAGTAAAGCTCGGTGACAAAGCAGTGCATAACATAGCGCTCTTCCGCAATGATACCGCAGATTCCGAGGACTTTACGCAAAAGGGGTTTATGCGTATCGCTTTGGGTATTCCGCAGAATCCGCCCAGTCTGCGTGTATGAAGGCGGCCTACTGAGCGCTTAGCTTGTTACAAATGGTATGGACTGACTGAAGTTAGAAAGAACATCGCTTAGACAAACGAACCTCTGTTGTGGGTGTATTGTTGTTTGAGGCGACAGTTTTGTGGCTATGCTGACATGTTTAACTCATAGGTCATCCTAGCATTGGCTTCTCAGCAACAAATTGATCCAAGCCACGCGTACTGACTTTGTTTAAAGAAATGGTCCGCGAACAGGTATAGGAGTTGTGGTCCACGCGGAACAACCTTGTACCGGTTTCGCGGCAAAAAATCGTAAGGGAGGGGCGCTATAGCGCAATATAGGTTCAGTGACGCCTCCTTTTCTCCAGTGACTCCGCCTCCAGACTCCGCCTTTCAGTGAAAAACGAAGCTGCAGGACGAAAAAGCATGAAAATCGTCACTTGTACGGTCGTAGAGTTCTTATCGGGGAATCAGCTGTGCGGATGAGGGCGTGGTGTTCGTGATGGAGTTAATTAGGCACGTACGCATGAAACACTGGGGTTCTATCTAGGGTTCTATCTGGGGCAGTTGACAAGTTTTTTCTGCCTTTTTCTCCACTATCGAGTTGCTCAGAACCTTGTAGTCTATGCCCCTAAACTATCTATAACGGCGAATAATCGCGGGTTTCGCCTTTACCATGACCTTGTTGCAGATGACGCATCCTTTCTGTCGAGGTCCGAATCTGACTTCTCATATGGAGAGGAAGTTCTACCAAGTTCAGCGAGGAAAAATCTGCCGCAGCGAGACGCCAAGGTTCGTGGTCTATTTTATACGTGAGGACTTTGATATTCCATATTTTCTATGTTTAGATTGGCGCAAATGGGATAAATCTGTTACAGCAGAAGAAGGCAAACGGGCTCACCTTGAAGGCGGGAAATGGTGCATTCATGGCTTCAGAAAATAGTTATGTTATCGTAGAAATATGAAACTGTTTGCAGGTAATTCCTTTAACAAAGGATGTATTGGTGAGCTCGAGGATTATGATGCTATATCGAGTAGTCCTGATGGTGATGTTCCGTCTTCATCCGTAATAACACCAGAAAAGGTGAGGAAATGCTCATTCCTCATTGATTTCTCATCGTTATCGAAATAAATGCCCACCTAAGCATTCCGTACCTGTCATCAAAATTTCAAATATCTCCACTCAGTTACCCATGGAAAACAAAGCGTTTCTCCCCAACCTAATCCTTTAATCATTCCCTGAAATCTTCGCTACTTATTACAGACTTTAACGATGCAAGGAATTTCCACCTGAAATTTTTTGCGAGTTAGATTCCTAAGAACTGAATTCCTTGTACTTAGTTAAATTATGCTGTTTAGAAAAACCGGAGACAGAGACCATCTAAAGAGCCTGTAAGTCATTCTAATGACTCCGACAGCAGCTCAGATGACAACTTCGAAAACTGTGAGTCCTTCAGTTCCTTTGTTTCACTCCAATGATGATCTGATTTTACAAATTAGACCTGAAGAAGCTCCGTGAAAATGACTCCAATAAGAAAAAGGATGGCGATCGCAAAAGTGCAGTTCATAATGACAGCAGGTGCGGCATTTCTTGTTCTCGGTCTTGCTCTTTGACTTTAACAAATAAGACCTCCCTTAAATACTTTGTGATGTTAAGTTATTCCACCATCTTATCGAACTAACGACAACCTTTTTAGTTTCGGAGTATAGTGCTGTACCGGAGCCTCATCATAACCTGAGTGTAAAAACAATATAAAAGAGGCACCAGGATTTAATGCAAAAAAAACTCCAAATATTCAAAAGAATCCAGGACTTTACGCAAAAGAAGAAATTAATGACGATTTATTCAATACTTAAAATCGCGGCTTCGCAAGGGTAGCTAAACCGCACCTGCGGAAGCAAGGCAACGGTCACTTGGTGGCAGACACCTTCGGGGGAAGGGGGTGGGGGGCAGGATCACCGAGAAGGTGCTAAACACGACAATATCCGAAGGGAGAAATAGAATATCAAATTTATTTGGGAGAAATTTTAGATTCTTTTGTATCTTTTGGAGTTTTTTGCAATAAATTTTGTTGCCTTTTTTGTATTGTTTTCTTTTTTTAGTTTTGTTGTCAGCGATAGCAATGTCTCCAGTGCTACGAATTCTGACGGTGAGTCAAGTGATGAATCTTGGACTGCAAGCGATGACGACCAAGGCAGGATTCGAAGTAGTAAGTTACATGTTAGGTGCCTGTTCCAGGACTTCCCCTAAAAATTTTCGCTGCTTTTTGCTCTTGTCGATTTTGTTTTTCCTTTTCAGAGCAGAGGCTGCTGAATTCAATCAAAGATTCATTCAATAGCCCATCTGTGCTTTCGAAATCGAAGAAGGTCCGTTTGTTTTCTAATAGTAATTTGCTTGAGTTGTTGCGAAGCGCTTGTCAATTCCTGAGAATCGATGCTTAAAGGGTAACCCTGCATTTTTTTCGTAACAGGAGCTGGACCCGGATGAACATTTCCTTGTATCGCTAGCAGCGGATTATCCTGGGAAACGGCATCCAGATGCCGAAGTTTATGTGAAAAAAGGTATCAAGAACGAAAATATCCGAATGGAGCTTACCACTCGTCTGTTCAATATATTCAGGAGGCAGTGTTTCAAAGATGAGGTGAGGGAACCGTTTGAGTTGTCATTCTAACCCGCGTGAAATGGTAATTTGCGATTTACTCATCGAACATTATCCTATTTTGTGATGCAGTTACCAGAATTCCTTCCCGTGAGATGGAACAATCGCCTATGTAAAACTGCCGGAATGTGCCGAAATATGTCTGATCGCACAAGCTGTGTAGAGTTATCACCAAAAGTATGCAGCACTCCTGGTCAGTTATTCGACTCTTGAAGTTCGCTGTACTTTCGAAAACTTCTATGGTTTAATGGCTGGAGATTGGACGTGGAACTTAAATTGGAGTTCAGATCGGGTCCGTGATACTCTCATTCATGAACTGTGTCATGCTGCAGTATGGGTGGTAGATGGGCGTCGCAAAGAGGGACATGGTCCTTTATGGAAAAAATGGTGAGTGCCCCGTTTTCTGCAATATCAGTGGAGCTATCACCTATTAGTTGCACTTACTACTGCTATTGAGCACGTTCCGGAACGCGTGGCATTCACGTGTGCCCGCGGCCTTTTTCGATGCGAGGCTGGCGTGACACACAAGTGCATTACTGTATTATATCCTTCGTATTACTCGTTTTCTACCACTTTTTGTCGCATACGCGTTTGCAACAAAAAAGGCTGAGAACGGCTT